GTAGCTATAGGGCTCACCACTTAGTCCGTTGTTAGCAGACTTCTTTTTGTCTAGTATGGAGAGAGCAGTACTTTCTCACCTAGTATAAAGAGGCATAACGTCTACAAAGATACAATGAGGACTTCAGCTTGGATAACATCCTGAAAGTAGCCAATGATAATCATCCTGCTACCCAGTTCACCTTAGAAAAAAAGAAACTGAACTGGGACTTTGTGTACAAAAACAATTTGTACGGTATCTGTTATTATTATTATCATTGTCAAGTGATAGTTTGTAGCAGGGATTTGATTGGTTACAGGATCGATCAACAGATTACATCAGTTAGAGAACCACTGGGAAACCAGCAGGGAGTATTGGATAGCTGTTAAGCCTTGTTTGGTACTTTTCAGCAGTATGAATACAAGAACAGAAAGTTCAGAGTGAGTCTCTTTTCGGTGGCTACTTCATTCATCATTTAACTGTACAATCGCATTTATATATATATATATATATATATATATATATATATATACAATTACTTCTGGAGTGTGTGCATTAGGACTGTCAAACAAAAATTAGAATTACTTAGGGTTAATGTTTACGTCGTCAAAAACTGATAAACAGCCGAATTGTAACTAGTGGGGAGCGCACTGAGGATTGGTAAGCATTGACAAGGGTTATTATTATTATTATTTCCTTTAATCCCTAGAGGAACATAGGGCTTCAGCCCCATAATCTACATTCCGTTCGGTCCTCTGCTAGAGTTTTCACCTTGCCCCAAGTCTGCCCACATGCTCTCATCTCCTCTTTACATCACCTCTTCCAAGTCACTCTCATGCTGACGACCAACTCACCGCTTCCCTTTCGACTGGGTTCCACTCTAGCAATGGCTTGTCTAGTGATGTCACTCACTTAATGGTTTCCTCAGAGTATGGCTATCCGATCCACCTCCATTTCCTCCTGCTTATTTCTTGCACATTCAGCTCCTGGTTGGTTTGCTCCCAGAGATCTTTGCTGCTGATCTTTTCTGGCCGGCCATCTGATCTTGAGTATTGAGCGAAGACAACTGCTAATGAAGGTCTGTTTGTTTGTTTTTTTGACATGCTCTTTATGACGCGTTGGCCAAGTCTCTGATCTGTATAGTAGCACTGATTTTAGATTGGAGTTGAAAATCCGGATCTTATTTTTTGATGCTGAGTGCTGTTGACCTCCACAAAGACTTGATGAGAGTAATGAAAGCTTATCTTGCTTTCCCGATCCCTGCTTTGATAAGGGTTACGAAATGTGAAAGGAACCCAGAAAATAACATATTAATGAAACAGCGTGGAGACAAGTGTTCAAAATAAATTATGTCATAGATAGATAAATAAACGCATAAAGCTGAAAATCAACAAAGAACACCCCATCTGTACGCCGAAGAAGTTACTATATATACATGAATGTGGTTTCCACAGTGACCTTCTGGCCGACATTCTACAGAGGAAAAGATCTAACGCCGTGAAAAGAAAGAACATTTCCTGCTACTACATTACTATCAGCATTCTCAAGTCGCCCAGTTGTCTTCAACAACTCCATAGATAAACTGTCGCATTTGACCATTTCTGTGTCTATCTACCAACTCATCTGCTAATGCGCAGTGAGCCAGATATATAGTTCACTCGATGCGTGTTTTATCCAAAAGAGTGGCAGAAAATTATCCCGCCTGTCTACAAAAAAGGGGAACAGTGGATCCATAAGAAGTGCTATAATTGAACGAATATTCAACGGTGCGCATCCAAGATGTGCAAGGAGAATTCATTTAAAGTCATCTACAAATTCAAAAGAAGCCTCCCATTGAAAACGGTAAACCTCCTATTAATTTGCATTACTTACTGTGACCTTAGCAATTCGGGTGGAAAACCTCACATCGAAGAAACTTCTCCCCCACCTCCTTATACCTTGGTTATAATTCCAAGTTCTACTACTCTGCTTTTTGAATTTTCGAATAACATTTTAGTAACATCTTTTTCTTAACCAACAACCCTTTACTCACTCTTTCTACCACCTATCACATGATTTATTTTGGATACTTGTCTCCATGCTCTTTCATTAACATCATATTTTTCTGAGTGTCTTTCATATTACGTGACGCTTGTCAATGCTTACCAGTCTTCACCACCCCAAGCTTCACTTTGATTATTCTTCAGATTTTTGAAACACTTTGATGACGTAAATAATAACCCTAACCGATTTTTAATTTTTATTTGAAAATCCTGATGTACACACACACACACACACAAATAATTATATATATATTTTCAAGAGTTGATTTGTAAAGATTAGGTTTGATGATGTTAGATAGTTGGAGGTAGTCGGCCACAGGATGCCTTAGACCTAGGTTTCGTGCTGGTTGGCACTCACCAGTCAGCAAGGCTTATCTGCAACGTTGAAGAAACTCATATCCCTTCTGAGATTCAAAATCGCGTCACCCAATGCTGCAGTCAGAGACGTTACCACCACTGAGCTATTCGGGCTCGCGATTGACCTCCTTTAGGACTGTAGTGGGTAGTTTGATTGGACACTAGTAACTAGAGTGACGTGTTTAGTCCTTTCTTTGGAGCAGACTGAATTCTATGAGTCAGGTTTGCAATATGGCCACCATTCTGGGTAGCTTGCCATCACGGTGCACATTGATTTGATGATATTAGATAGTTGGAGGCAATCGGTAGGAAGTCTTAGATCTAGGTTTAATTCTAGTCGGCACTTGTCAGCAAGGCATATCTGCAACACTGGGTGACGTGGGTTCGAATCTTAGAAGGGACATGAGCTGTTCCTTCAAAGTTGTGAGCTACCTACAATGGTGACCACATTACAAACGTGACTGATAGAATTCAGTCTGCACCAAAGAAAGGACTAGACACGTCACACTAGTTACCAGTATCCAATCGAAGGATTAGGTTTATTTTTCGAGTCTGAGCACAGATTGATGTCAGTTAGAGAACCGTGGAAAACCAGCCTAGATTACTGTCAGACAGCTGTTTCGTCAGCCTAGTTTGGGAATCATCTGCAGTGGGGGGTTTGAAACCAGGACCTGCCAATTACAAGGCAAGCTAGCTCGTTTACTATTTACCCGCCCGATATAATGGCCAGCCAGCCCATAAATTCTAACTTCTAACAATTCGTGATTTTAGCAATACAACCAACCATTGTTATCGGCTGGAAATCCATCCTCACATCCAGACTGGATGGACCTCACTGGTCACGATTTCTCACTAGATCCGCAGGGAATTCCATCATGTGGCAAGTCACTAGCTAGCATCAGATTATTTATATATATATATACGATTGTACAGTTAAATGATGAAAGAATTAGCCACCGGAAAGAGCCTCTTCTCTGAACTGTTTGTTCTTATCTTCAACAGTGCGTACCCACTCAATGAATGCTTCATTAGACAAAGTTGCCCAACACGTCCGCTGCACGTTTCTCCACTTCACTTCGGCTTTCGACTCTGTACCTATATGCCTCTTGCTAAATAAGCTCTCGATGACACAAACTGAATCCTGGATAATAAACTGGTTGCATTCCTACTTCCAGAACAGAATGCAGTACACTGTATACAAAGGTAAATCCTCCTCTGCTGTGCTGACTGAAGTTGGTGTCCCCCAAGGTGCTGTACTCTCCCAACTTCTCTTTTCTTTCTTTTTACATGAATTACCATCTTCAAATGACATTAATTTTGTTAAAAATGCTGACGATCTGAGTGTATCTTCGCCTGTCTAATGTCAAAGCGATTACTCCAAGCTAAATGGCTTTTTATCAGAAATCAGTCAGTGGTTCAAGGAAAACGGTTTTACCTTAAACCCCTCCAAATGCCAAACAGTCAATTTCACCTTTAGGCTGAAATCTGACCTAAACAAACTGGTTAGCACTCACGAGGTGTGCAACATAGATGGTACTGAAACGGAGAGAGATCATGTCGGAAATTAAACATCTTGGCGTCATTCTATCTGCTGATCTTTGCTGGTCGTCTCATACCTTGATGATGATTTCTAAGAAAATATTCCGTCCTACCTTCTATACCAAGAAGTTAAGAAATTCTGGAATAACCCAACCCAACCTTAACTACAACGATTTGTTAACTATTGCATCCTACCTACTATTCTCTATCGTTCCTCCTTAGTTTTCCCAGAGCTACTGAAGATGGACTATACCTTATTACGTAGGATGTTAAAGGTTTTCATCAGGGTAAACAACGTGCCACTTAACCAACCAGCTTGTTAATATTCTGGTCGACAGGCATTTGGACTCGTGAAACATGGTCCAAATCCATTTTATCTAATTCACACCACCCTCTTCATTCACAACTCTCCCCTTGCATCTCATCAGGCAAAACCAGAAGCCTATATAGAAAAGTATATGCTCGCACTAGCAAGTACAAAAACTCAACTATACCCTACTTAGCTCATGTTCTGTGCGACAAAGAAGAAAGCACTAAGCTTGAAACCTATAACTTATTAAATAGTCAGTGGAACAACTGGATCTCGTCTTTCCAACTCATGTCATTTATAGGTACAACGTTTTCTTTCTTTTCTTTCCTTTTTTGTGATAAGCTGTTTTGTTTCTCTCCTCCTTACAAACTCTACTTAAAACATTCTTCTTCGTTCTTTCACACTCTGTATATATCGACCTTTTTGTTACCGCTTACGCCAGTAAATATGCTAGTATCTACTTTTCTAACACCTTCAAACACTCTGTTCAATTTTTGGCCTTGTTACCGATCGATATGCCAATGTGTTGTTGTCATAACTAACTGAGATTACCCTTAATCTATGTAGAATTTTGTTTATTGTTAATGTACTAACTGGATGCAATACTGTAAGGAAATGCTGAGAATTCTATTATGTATCACATGTACTGTTTTGGAATAAAGCAAATTATTATTATTACGCAATAAATGTGTTTGGTAGCGAAGTATACAAAAATTTAAGAGAAAAAGCATTTTAATAAGCAACATATTGTATTCAAGTGAATTGATAGAGTACTTAAATGAAAATATGCGCCTGTCAGATAATAGTCAATATTATAGTGGGGTAGTAGCCATTTAGCCGTGTGTATTTCATCCCTGTTACCATGATAGTGTGTTCAGCGATTGACAGAATCTGTTTTCTAATCATTCTTTCTCCTATTCTGTAGATTATTTATAAATTCTTTCACAGCCTGTACAGTTTTATCATCATACTTGTAAAGGTATTCCGAACATTGAATCTAGCGGCAGTGAGTGATTGGATAAGCGCGGACAATAGACAAAAATAAAAACAAGAAAGAAATGGTCAAGAGTTATTGTTTTTAGGGTAGTGATTTTTAAAAACGAAATGTCTGATCACTGGTTATTATCATTTGGCTGGTGGTCGAGCTAAAAATCACGAAATGATAAAAGTTGGAATTCGTGCAGTGGCTTTATAATCGGAAGATCCTGTGTTCTACCCTTCTTGGGGGGGGGCGGGGAATGGTAGTTCCGTAAAAGTTCGGGACTAAGAGAACGAAAATAGATCTGTCCAGTACTCTCTGTTTTTTCTGCTTCTCTGTGAATAATATCAGCTGATGGTCGAATTTGGAAACGAAACGGTTACGCTCAGAGATTCATCAACAAGTATGGAAGATCTGAAGGCTCAAACAAAAAATAAATCACAATGTGAAAAACGCCTAACTTGACTCGATTTAATTCGAAAGGTGAACATACCGCACCCATAGTCAACAGAAGATTGAGTTTGTCACTAGTCACAGACCATCCTGCAAATTGCTAAATTGGTTCCCATCTATTGGACAACATGCTCTTCTTTGATGCACACAAAAGTTGACAGAGATATCCTTCTCATGTTAACATTTCCAACTGTGAGTGTCATCGATGTCATTGGAAGAGCAGAGTGATGAAGAACACACCTCTGATTTTCTGATATAGAAATGATAACTGTTACAGCTCTGAATGTCATGATCACGTTTATCGAAAGAAATAATATGGCTTAAAATGAAATGCTACACTTTAATAATAGCCAAAATTCTGTCGATTGAATATTTCTCTATAGTCGGGTGCCCCTATTGAGAGAAGCACAAATGAAATTCATCTGAAATCCCTTCACACTTGGATCCGACACATCTGTCCTTCTGACGCCCTGGAGGCACAATTACATATTTCGAAAAAGGTAATCTTCATCTCAAGTGGATATGAACCAAGATTCACTGACAAGAATATCAAACCAGACTCTTTGACAAAACGAAATACTAGCTGTCCTGAAAAAGAACATTTAAATTAACCTGGACTTCAAAGACAACTTGAGAGAGAAAAATTTCAGAATCCTTAGGAGGAAAATCCCTTACGCAAAAACACTATGGGTATTGGTCTCCAGTCGCCCACTGATTTGCAGATGCTCCTAAGGATAGGAACTCGCATCCGACCACTTTTTAATGTACATCCATATATCAGTTCACCTGTTCTTCTGCAGCCAGGTGCATTGGTCATCTGATGTCTAAAAGTGTTCAAGAGCAGTATCTTACACGCCTGCAGACAAAGGTAGCAGTAATGGCTCTATCACGAGTGTCAACACAACTGGTCATTCCATCTCAACACCAAAGGCCTACTGCTTCAAAGTAATCTACAAAGTGAACAATCACTTGAGAGAGAAGTAGTCCGCCTTCGTCTCATCTGAGCATTGCAGAAGTTTTAGTTATTGAGTTAGAGAAACTGGAACTATACATAGAAAAGATTGAATTATTCAATCATTTCTACTACCGCTATCATGGTAAAAACTTTACTTACTTATAACAACAGGTTTTCCTTTCTTCTTCAGCGCATTATGACACTCTTATTTCTTTAGAACGCTTGCGTAATTCTATATTTTCCTTTGTTTCTATGTGCATCTTGATTACAATACATTCACTAAACTAATGTCACCTGAGTCATAGATAATTAAGAAACTGACAACAGACTCCTTCGCCTGTCTTCTATAATTGCACACAAGACTTCCTGTTGAATTCCTCTATCTTTTTAAAAATAATATCAAACTACACGACTGCAGTCCACATTAACATTCTCATGTAACAGTAATCGAAGATTCCATTGTGTATGGAATTCTTATTTTGATAAAGTCTCACAGTGATTGTTATACAGTCATATTTACTTCTCTTGACCACACACACTTCGAGCCCTATTCATCATTCCTCATCGTCATTAAACCAAGGGACTACTCATACAACTATCTAAATCCGTTTGTATGACTCCACTATTTCTCATCTCTTCATTTGATTTGGAGTAGTAGTGTAACAACAGAAGACAAGGACCAGGAAACAGATCGTTTCATGTACATATTATAGATTATTGTAAGCAGAAAGACACAGTCTTCTGACTGGTTGTTTCTCACAGGACGTTAACCTTGCATCGCTTTGTGGCTGTTTCTTGAATGTCAGATCATCACCTATATGTTAACTGTATCCGCCTACGCAATGCCTTTGTTCTCATTTTTCTCACGACCAGTATTGGGGACATAAACATTGACGTAAATCACTGTCCACCAATTTTGATTAACAGCCAGCTCTCATCACAAAAGTATTTCCAATATTTCTGGTAGGAGTGATGATGAGTCATTCCTACTGTACGTGTTGTATTGCATGTAGATTAATCGAGGAATAAAGATTTAGTAAGTTATCAGTCTCCCTCTATCTCTCTCCACCTATCTATATCACTTTAGAATTTTGATTATCTCCCGCCCACCCTACTGGGTGGTTGCGTGTTAATGCCTGCAGTGCAATGTAGTGCTGAGCTGTTTTCTAAACTACTTATCTTCGTGTAGTCAATCATTCTACACATAACTAAATTCTCATATTCTGATAGTCACTACTCCCGCCTCATGTAGTAGTCTGACTCACCTGTGTAGGTGGTTGACCTAACTCATGGTCATTGCAAGTCATTTCGTAAATTATATCATTTTGTCTAATTGACTCAACATACAGGCTCCTTTAACCTACCTACAGAGCTTGTCCTACCTGAGTGAGTTTGTAGGTGTAAATACCACCAAAATCACCACCACCCTAATTCCTGCTTTATTAAGAATCCTATGTAGGAAGGAACTCAGATGTTCCCTCCTTTGTCATAGCGTAAAATTGTAGTTTCACCGCTTTTTGTATTTTACTTTTCAACTTTTCTGATCTGCCTAATGAATTTTATAGGATATTCAGTTAGAATATTTAACACCAACCAGTCCTCATTTAGTCTTTAGTTGAACTACTTAGTAATGTTGTTGCTCGATTTGCTAAACACTCAACTGAGCTTGCGTTGACAGACAGATAACGAATGGATGAGATAAATTAAAGCCTAAATATCTATTAGCAGAATGCATTGAAGTCTTATGCTGGTGTGCAGTAGATATGGATAACCATCACTCCTACCAGAAATATGCGAAATACTACTGCTACTCCCAATCAAATGAAGAGATGAGAAATAAGAAGACAGTTGCAGCGAGGAAGAAAATTTTCTTTTCGACGAAATCATCAACTAGGCTCTACATTCGTGTATTTATATCAAATGGATGGGGAAGTTCCAGAATAATTTCCGGTCAAGGGTCAAATTAATAAAAATTACATTTAGGGATTAAAATGCCATAATAAACAGGGGGACGGATAAAACTCAAACAATGTAGCATCATAATTACTGGGAAGATTGACATATTGGGCAATTAGGGGTTAAAAATGTAGAAATAACAAAAATAGATGGACAGGATATTTGGATAGAAACTAATTTGATGAATAATTGTTTATGCAGTTAGGGATTAAATATGTAGAAATAATAAAATGACAAAATAGGCAGGAAGTTCGGATATGAAAATATGTTAGTGCAAATAGGGATTAAGAGAAACTTAAAATAACATGAATAAACAGGAAGTTCGGATAAGAAAGGCAATGGAATGGTCATTACTAAGAAAAAATTACCTGTTTATGATGGCCATGGCAGGCACGAACAGGCGTTGAACGTATTTCATTTGGATACAAAGCGTGAGTTTGAGCTTTTGGATAGCTAGCGCCTCGGCTATGCTCAGATGTCTTCATTTCACTCCTTTTGATGGGTTTGATTGAATCTTGTATATTATTTAGAAGGATTTTTCGTAAAGCGCTGAATGTCCTGAATTGACCAGATGTTCTGTCACTGAACTATATACACAAGTTTTCGTTCTCCTTTTACTAGCCAGGCTGGGTAGTATCCACGAGCGCGTTTTTCAAGTTGGTGCATGATACGGTTGATGTACTCAGCTCCGCAAGAGCAAGTAAACTGGTATGTGCACGTTGAGGTGGCCCAATGCGACAGCTTGTCTTTCGCGTTCTGGCTGAACAGTTCCTTGCAGGAAAAAGTCAGTCGTAGACTCGTGGCGAAGTATGTCTTCCTCAGAGATTTGGAGAGGCATTTACGAAGGATTTCTGCCTCACTGTCACCTTTAAATTCTAGATTAAGCAGAAGTATTTTCTTTGGAACGGATTAGATATGTTCAGAAGTCTTCTTTGATTTGAGATTCGTGTCTGTAAACCTAGGCGGAAAACTGTTTTCCATCGGGGTTTCTAGGAGATTTCTCAATTCCTCACCAATCACTTGCTCGCAAGGGGTTGTTTTCTAATATAACCATAAAGCAGTCGGCTATGAAGGATGCTAGGGGAGAACCCATTCCTAATTGTAATTTTATTCATTTGACCCTTAACCGGAAATTATTCTGGAACTTTCCCATCCATTTGATATAAATACACGAATGTACAGCCTAGATGATGACTTCGTCGAAAAGAAAATTTTCTTCGCTGCAGCTGTCTTCTTAATAACTCTTATAACCCAAGACGAGAAATAGTGGAATTATACAAACGAATTTAGAAGGTTGTGTGAGTATTCACTTGGTCTAAGGACGATGGGGAATGATGAATAGGGCTCGAAGTGTGTGTGGTCAAGAGAAGTAAATATGACTGTATAACAATCACTGTAAGACTTTATCAAAATAAGAATTTTCATCCGCAATAGGATTATACTCTATCAGAGAGCACAAGTTACACGATTATTACATATTCAAAAATGTTAGGACGACTAGCATTTAAAAACTGTGAGCTGAACAGATCAACATGCAACTATCTACATATCATCGAATAAATTTGTTCTGTTAAAACTAATTTTCTGTTGTCAACATTTTCAACCTTAAAATGCGAAGCATCGGCGACATCGAACGCAAGAAGCAGTGATGTCA